AGCATGGTTGCAAACTGGTTCTTTTCAAAAGAACCTGTAAAAGATCCAGCTTCAAAAGAATCCGTCCAGGAGGACTTGTGCCATTTCACCCCAATTCTGCCTAAACATGACTGGTTTCCAAATCGACTTGAGTGTGAATGAGACACAAATAAGCCATCTTGATCCGATTCACAAATCAGTTTAAAACATAGTGTGAATTAGGCCTAAACAGTGTTTCTTCACTGTGCAACCATGATTTGATTTCACCCATCCCTTAACAGTAATCCCTTATGCATGTCTTTAGTCCCCTCAGAAGACTATTGAAAAAACATTTATTTAGTGACATTCATCTTCACAAATACTGCTGCATCCTTTGGGAGCTCTTTATTTATTTCAAATGATGGATTTTGTCCACATCTTCATGGAAGCCCCAAATAACAAATGAGACTTCAGTCGGAAAAAGCAGATCACCATGAAGAGAGAAGAGCTTGAAGGAAAGACAACGAGAAATCACCTCACTCACTGGTAGTATGAGAAATATTTGTAATAAAGATATTTCATATGTAGTGCTCCCAGAAAAGGCTTCCTTGAGGAAGAGGAGGAATGTAATGGTGAGAGAGCTGGCTGGACAAAAAGACAAAGAGGACAGGACACCTAAAACTAGGAGAAGGAGGGGCATATAAGAGACTGATGATTAAAAAGAACAAAAGAGGAGTAAAGTAAGTTGAGAAAAGATAGAAAGCGATGAGGAGGGAAATGCAGGCAGGGATGGCTCTGGGCTATTGTAGGACCTGGGTGAGAGACCTGAAATGGGCCCCCAAATGTGGTGAGCCATGAGGCAATTCCTCAGCATGGCAATTGCTGAGGAAATCACAATAACCTGCCAGACCTCAGAGCCCAGAATCATAGAATGATAAGAGTTGGAAGGGCCATGCAGGAATACACAACTAAAACATTTCCAAGAGATGCCAATCCAACCTTTGTTTAACAACCTCCAAAGAAGGATACCATCACCTTCCAAGGCATTCTCTTCTACTGTTGAACAGTTTTTACTGTCAAGAAGTTCTTCCTAATTTTTAATTGGAATCTATTGATTTGTGTCCTAGTCTCTGGAGCAGCAGAATTAAACAAGCTTGCTTCATCTTCTACATGACATCCCTTCAGATTTTTAAAGAAGGCTATCATAGCACTTCTCAGTTTTCTTTTCTCCTAGCTAAATAAATATAGCTCCCTAAACTGTTCCTCATAAGGCAGGTTTCCAGAACTTTGATCATCTTGGTTGCCCTTCGTTGAACATATTCTAGTTTGTCAGTATATTTCTTATACTGAACACAGTATTCCAGGTGAGGTCCAACTAATGCAGACCTGGTCTACCTGTCATTATTTCCATTATTAGGAGGGAAACATGGAGATCACAACTGTTATATAGCAGCAGCCTGGGTACTGCATGATAGGGCGATCTCCTGTCACTAGTCCCAGCTTCTGCCAACCTAGCAGTTTGAAAGCATGAAAATGCAAGTAGATAAACAGGTACCACTTCAGTGGGAAGGTAAACAGCATTCTGTGCAGTCATGCTTGCCACATGATCACAGAGTAGTCTCTGACAACACTGGCTCTTCAGCTTAGCAATAGAGATGAGCACTGCCCCCTATGGTTGGCCCTGTCTTGACAACCTTGTCAACAGAGAATACTTGTACCTTTACATTTCTATACTTCTTATCAGTGCACTTATGCACTCCCTAAGCAGTTTACAATATGTAAGTAATTGCCCCCAACAAGTTGGGTACTCATTTTAGCGATCTACAGAAGGATGTCAGTCACTCTGAGTCGAACCTGGAGCCCTTGGCTGGAATTGAACTCACAACCTAGTTGCTGTGAGTACCGGCATTTAACCACTATGCCACCAGGGCTCCCTGCTGTGGTAGACTCAAATCAGAACTTAGCCTTACCATAGCCTCAATGTTAGTGTTGAAATTATGTGTGTGGCTGTGCTCTGTAAGTCTTATTAAAAGAATCAAAGAGAAGAGGAACTTCTTCCAATTTACTGAAATGAATTATCCCCAGTTTAGCTACCACAAATTTTAAAGGAATACTGCCTTTCCCTCCTGGTCATTGAGGCTGCATTTGCATTGCAGAAATAATCCAGGTTGACTCCACTTTAACAGCCATGGTTCACTCTGTGGGATCCTGGAAACTGTAGTTTGTTGTGGCACCAGAGCTCTCTGATAGAAAAGGTTAAATACCTCACTACAATTCCCAGAAGTCCATAGCATTGTGAAATTGGTGTCAACCTGGGTTATTTCTGCAGAGCGGACAGAGCTTGAATGACTTTGCAAGATGCAGCTGTGTTGTGCCACAGTTCTTGCCCTCTCTTTTTCTCTACTGGCTCCTACTACAAGGATGAGGGTGAATGATATACTTTTGCATTGACACTGCCGATTGATTGTTTCATCTACTGGTGCTTCCTCTACTTCATATCAAATGGCCAGACTAAAGAAGAACCAGTCTGTTTGCTTGCCATTCAGTTTGGATACCCAAGGGCTAGCCGTAACATTAGGCAGGGTGAAGCAATTGCCTAAACCAGGGGTAGGCAAGCTTTTTGAGCTGGGGGCCGGGTTGCTGTCCCTCAGACAATTGGGGGGCCGAAGCACCAATAAATAAATAAATAAATGTACACTTCCTCAATCCCAGAAAAGCCATGGCAAAACCCCTGTGGAGATTTTGCCAAGAAAACCCCAAGAACAAGTAATAACAACAATAATCAATATCATCATGGTGGATGGCGGCAGCGGCAGGACCAGCCTGGGGCCAGTCCAAAGGCTTCGGGGGGCCGCATCCAGCCCCCAGGCCTTAGGTTGCCTACCCCTGGCCTAAACTTTCAGATTCCAAGGAGCACAGATTGGATAAAGCAGGACTGCTGCGTGCCCTTTAAGCTTCCTGCTGCCCTCAGGTGTGGTGGACAATGCTGCCCTGTCAGCAGTATTGAAATGCAATTCAGCTGCCAGTCTTTTGGACATTGAATCGGGCATGAGTAAGTGCAAGAGGGGACATCCTTTGCCTCAGACAGCTAAAATAAAATAAAATGTTGAACCTGAGCCTGCAAAAGAGGAGACAATGAAAAGAATAGTTAAAGTGACTATTCTGAGGAATGAGCTGGTAGCGAGCCTATAGCTGTGTGTAGATCACTACAACTGTCCAGCAGTGTCAATTCTGTACCCACTTTCTTTCAACCAGATCGCTGAACTTTTCTATTTAAACAGGGTGAGCAGTACATGACTCACCAGTTGTAGTTGGACTGCAGCACCCAGAATGTATGTTAGGGTGATTGCCATTGAATATGAAACTCACTGGGTGATTTTGAGCAAGTCACATGTTTTCAGCCTCAGGAGGAGGCAATGGCAAACCTCTGAACAAATCTTGCCAAGAAAATCCCATGATAGGTTTGTTCTAGGGTTGCCATAGTTTATACTTTATTTATTTATTGAATTTATATCCTGCTCTTCAGCCACAAAGGCTCTCAGAGCAGCTTACAGACAGTTAATTAGACAAAATGATAGTTAATTAGACAAAAAGTCAAAAATGATTTGAAGGCTCATAACAACAACAACAACAAGTTGCAGGTGTACTGCATTTAGAGGGACACACTTTACCTGCCCTGATTTCAAAACTCAAGGCAATTCCAGACACATTTCTGCTTCTGTATAGCACATGCTGGTGGTGAACTGGACACCTGCAATCCAGGTATCTGTACTATTTCTCTCTGCTTGTTAAAACATATAAGCGGCAAGAGCATGGGAGGCATAGCAACTGTTGAGTGTAAACAGTTGTAATCTCATCTGATTGGGATATAACCCCAATCTAGATGACACCAAAGGAACTGCATTCTGTACTACTCTTGCAAATGTGTTCACAGACATTTATACAGTGTCCAACATGCACACACACCCATCATATGGGATGCTTCACAAAATTAATGTTAAGTTCAATTCTGCTCCAAGGGCCTGCAGTCTAAATACTGACATTGGTGGGTGACAGAGTGTTCTGATGCACCCCTTCTGTAGAGCTGAATTTGCCCAAACTAAAATTTCCCCCAAATGGTGCAGGGAGCCACTTGAAAAAATTATCTGTGATGTAGTTCTCTGTTGACACACTTCCACTTCAGGCTGCCACCCACACAAACCATTTGGGTCACCACAGTAGCATGATCACAGGTGGTGACAGCAGAAATGTCCCATGAGAAAGATTGTGGTAAATGAGGGGAAATGTGACTGTAACATAGGCAAGGGATTTTGCCCTAGATGCAAAAAGTTAAAGCAGAGTTCACAAGTGCTAAATGCAGCAAGACTTGGTAATGGTCTGCCTGTGGAGCTTGAAGGAGGAGGGGGAAGGTAACCTGAAGATTTCTAGAAATAAGCAGAAGTGACTTTTGACAGCAAGAACAAACTTGGGAGGGGAGGGATTAGAAGGGCAGTAAAACATTTATGAGGGGACATCACAGAAATTGAGCAATGAAAGAAGGGTTGGTTATATTTGAGTTTTTGGAAGTATAGTCTGTCAGTGTTGACAAGAATATCCTGAGTGCATAAAAGTCAGAAGACCAGATGCTGAGCCTTTGAAAAATCTCTGCAAATCCCATCAGAATTCCTGAAACCCATAGCCAGAGGGTATCATGGAGTCCTTCTACAAGAAACAGCTCCTCTAACCTCCTTTCCCAGGACACAAGCCATGGACAGACTGGCTTTTGATCTCATTGGGCTATGCTTGCCTTGTTTGTGTACATATTATCACCTGGTGGAGGGTATTATGAACATGTTGACTAAGGAGGGTTGCAGACTGCCAGAAATAGTGCAAATTGAGTCCACTTTTAGGGTTAGGGTCAAGGCTAGGGAATCATGGGGACTGTATTTTATTGTGGCACCAGAGCTCTCTGACAGAGAAGGCTCAATGTCTCAGAAAAAACCCAATTCCCATGATTCCCTAGCACTAACCCTAACCCTAAAAGTGGACTCAATTTGCACTATTTCTGACAGTCTGCAACCCCTCTAGGTGCAATGTATTAATGCATCTCATATTCTATTTGACTATGATTGCTGCCACACTGCAGAATCAATGAAGTTTGACATCGCTTAAACTGTCATGGCTCCATCTGATGGAATCCTGGGATTTGTTGTTTACTGGGGCACAAGAGCTTTCTGTCACCATAATATGATATAAAATTAGATCTGTAGAACTGCAGAGTCATGTAATGAGTGTATAATGTCTGCACAGTCATGGTGTGTGTGTGTGTGTGTGTATTGTATGACAAGAGCAGAACATCTGGAGATAAATGTTCTTGAAGAGGCCAGAGACCTAAATGTATTGGACTGCACCTGTGTATGTATGACTCAGCAGGGTGATGTAATGTGCAGTGATGTAATCCATGAGCAACCCTGCACTGAGGTTGCATCAGACAAAGGTATATAAATCTGAACCTAAAGTAAACTATTGTGGGTCAGTAGTTGTGGGTCTGTGGAGTCGTGGAGAATCAGTGCAGTTGGTGTTTGTTAGTGAGAGTTCTAGTATAGTTCTGTGTTGCTTTGAGCTGCTGAGGAGGAAGCCAGAGTGTTTGCTTCCATCCTGAACCCTGTTCTACACTTGTAAATAGCAACTCCTTGTCCTCTGTAAATAAATCCCTTCATTGTGAACTGTCAGGTTTATGCTTCTTGATTTTCAAGAGTATCTCAAGGTCTGGCAGAGATACTGATAGTCACATTCACACCTCAACCTCAGTGTGACACTTTCTGACAGAGAAGGCTAAACATCTCACAAAACAACAGATCCCAGAATTCCTTAGCATTGAGCCATGGTGGTTAGAGCAGTGTCAGACTGCATTAGTTATGCAGGGTAGATGCAGCCTATGCTGGCCACACTATACTCTGATAACTCCAAAATAAGTAGGGATATATTTGATAGTGTACTAGCTCCCTGGAGGAGTTTTATATGGAGTAATGTTTTGCTGACACTCAGGTACAAGTACATGTGGTCTGTGAAAGATGTGAAACACACATTAGTGTTCCCAAGTCTCTGGGCCTTGCCCCTCTTCTCCATTTCTCAGGGTGAGAGAGAGGAGTCTCAGGGCCTTGAAAAGTGTGTGTGTGAATTCTTCATTAATTAGACTTGGTGGTTTCTGTGCTTGCCTTGTGTAAATGTGGTTGATGCATGATGAATGATACTTAATGACATCATGGAGGGCTGCAACAGAGCATCACAAGGGATCATCCCTAAATGTCAAGTTTTGACAGCCAACTATTGAGGTCATATGGACATTTAGGCTATGGGAATAGGGATGTATACGTTTTTAAATGCATGTGAAATATTGTACCCCTGCCCCCCTGTGGGACAACTGTTGAAAAGAAGTGACATTTCATATCTGACACAGCCTGCATGTATTTGTACCAGCCATGAATGTACATGAAACAGCCACAACTTTCTTCTGTATTAGAGTCATAAAGAGGAATGGATAGTCTTTTTGTTTCTTCCCTTGGGGTTTGCATTCCAAATAATGCTGGAATATTTTATCTCAGTGCTTCTGGCTTCCCCTACCATCTGCTCCTTTCATGATGCTCGTGGGAAGCTGCTTACCTATAAATGTTAGGTAGAAAGGGAGGCTAAAGTGACTAATTAGACATTTGGTTTTTTAAAAAATTTATAATTTCTAAGTGTACATTATATTTGCTTTGTAGGTGAGAAATGCAGAAGTTTTATTAGCCTGACACCCCCAGCAGATCGAGGTAATTACAGACTATCACAATTTCAAGTTATGGCTATTTTTATCTTTATGTTTAGTGTTCTGAATCATGGGGAAATAAATCCTTTTTAAAAGACCTAACAATAACTTTTAATTTTTAATACTTTGGTTTAACAATCCAAA